TTCACCCAATATAATTAAGGTTAGTTGGATCCTATGATGTCATCTAAAGGAATAGGTTAAATTTAATCTTCAAATATAGAATTCATTCCATCACCAATATTCATATAAAATAGTGGTCCAGCATTACCCTAATAGTAATTGGCAATTATGTGATCAAATAATTCAGTACAAATCTATAACAATGATTTTTTGTAAGTAAGACAGTTTTATGTGATGACCTTTACAAATTCTCTTAATTTATTTGATAACATAAGAGTACTCTAATGAGAATGAGGATATTTTGAATGATCAAAATTAAGATTATCAATCAACTAATTCAGTGTTTGGAATAATAAATTTCTAGTAAGTTATTATGATACGACTCTTATGGTTTCTGATAATTATCTTAATAAAATAAATGAACATTCTACAACTCTTTGATCAGGTATGTATGGTAATCCAATAATTTAATTTGATGTGTAATAATCCTCAAATTTAGGTCTAAGATTTTGGATTTCAGTAAGTAATTCTATTGAAATTGATCTGCAATTCAATCCCTCAGATGGTATCATTGTTCCTCCATAAGCTAAGAATATTAAAATAATTACATTAAACGATTTGTATTTTTCTACGACGATCATCCTCTTTTTATAATTATGTTTACTTACCAAACTTCTCATAAACAAACTCTTCAAATAAACGAATAATAACTGTATAATAGACATTATAAGCCCATGACATATTTTCATTATTATTTTTCATATGATTACCCAGTATTTTCTTATATTTCTTAAGACAATTTCCCATAAGTAGTTTATTCCAAATAAACTCATGTTATTGAATGTAAAAATCTTTGAAATTCATATTTTCTTCAGCTGTAAGCATATATCTCTTATTTAAACCTTTGAAGAGATGAGAAATCCATTTAATAGATTAAGGTTTATCTCTCAAATATTTTGCTACAATATCTTCTGTCATAGCATAAAGAGAATTTAAATCTGGTTTTGTTTACTTGAGTTATTGAATTTATTCACAATGATCATCTGCTAATTAAATGAAAAACATTTCAGATAAAGTTGTTACAACATTCTCTACGTCCTCTTTAATTTTGTGAAATGTAGCTGTTGTTAGTGTCTAAATAATATTATGAAAATTGCTTAAACCAATAAAAACCTTTGTAACAGCTGAAATCAATTCCTCATCTTAATACATCAATAAATCTTATTCACATTAACGAGACTATAATCTCATGTCTAATGCCATTCCTTCAGGTATTTGATAATTGTATAAATCATGATCAAATTATATTGGCATTTGATAATATCCTAACAATACCATTTTTACTATTGAATAACTATGCTAAATTGAAGATTATTTGAATAAATATGTAGCCAATTATTATTCTAAAACATTTTGGAGTATCTCTACTGCACATCTTACAGTTTCTGAAAGGTTAATTTTTAAATTAGATTACAATCCTTCTATTTTGACTTCTAAATATTAATTTCTAATAAATGGATTATCAGTGTGAGTTCTTTTAATTTCCATAGGCCATTCTGATTTTCTAACTAAAGCTCCCAATTTAGATAATATTTTTAAAGATTTAAATGAAGGATCCAAAAATAAATTCACTTATTTTGAATAAATATCTGCCATTTTATATTCTGATGGAAATGTTAGTAATTTTTCTATGAATGGCTAAAGAAGATCTCCAAAGAATTCTCTCATTTCTTCCATACTTAAATTAGTTACAATATTTTCCAATAACATTAATGTTTTTTGAATTACTTAATTTTCAATTGTTGATATATTATGTAATGCTCTAAATAAACATTATGCAAAAACTGGATATTATTTTGCCAAATTTATTTGAATAGTCTTTTACAATGGGAAATTAGCTATTACTTCTGCAACAATATCTTAAATCTCTACTATACCAGTTTAAAATAATTCAAACATATTTAAAACAATATTAACTCCACTTAAATTTAATTTATGATATAATTCATATTATTATCTTTAAAGAATCTATTATTTATCATTTCGATCATATTTATCACATAATTATTAGAAATACTTAGATAATCCTTCTCCTTAATCATTATTTTATATTCTTTTAACTAATGATAATAATAATCCTAAAAAGTCTATTGGATAATATGTTTCATGTGATTTCTTTACAAAAAACAATATCAATTATTTTACTAATGGTTTTACTATTGGTTCTTCATTTTATTAACATTTTACTCTAGGAAATAATCTTATAGGAATTCTTAATAATTTCTATATTAATGAAATATATTCATCTTAATCTTTTTATGAAACAGTTTATGTTTTTTAATTGCTCATTTATATCAATTAACCTCCTCTACAATAACCAAATCTAGATGGCAATTCTGGAGTTGTTTATAATTCTCTTAAATATAAATTCAAAAGAAATTCTATATAATATTTTACTGATAATTTAGGTTATGCTTAATTTTCTGGATGACTTAATATTTATAAATGATCTTATAATAATAATGGAAGACAATGAGTTTCTGGACATGTTTTTATTAAATTAACTGAAATCTTTAACAATAATTTTGAATTTGGTTCAAAAATGTTCTTAAAATTTATAGGATCTTAAAATTATATAAAGAATTGCATAAATAAAGGTATTGTTTTCTTTTTATAATCTAAAATTTCAAAATGGTTTCTTTGATGATCATGCAATTCATCAAATATCATCAATCCATTTTTCATTATCTTAGACATATAATGACATTGTAAATTACTTAAATATGGTTTATTTTCAGTTGAAGCTTAAGCTAAAGGTGTTAATCTTTAAGAGAATTAATAATTTGGCCTATTTTTATACTTCATTACAATCTCTTTGTTTGTTGTAGTTACAAAGTGAAGTAATTTCTATAAGATTTCATTCAATTAATCAAATATCTTTGATTTCACTTCCTTAGCAAATTCTACAAATTAAATGTATGAATTGATGCTAATAGAATTAACTTAATATTCTTCCTCATCATCATAAGTATAAACTTAAGTAGCTGCTTAATCTTATTAAGTAATAAGATTTTAATCAATATCAATTTCATTCTCCTTTATGTATTATTCTAATTAAGTTATATATCTTTCATTTAAAGGTTCATTATTGCAAGGCATTGAAGATACATTTGTTTATGCTGTAGTTTTCTTGATAATACCCCATCTCTAAGTTCTATGTAACATATCTTTAATCTATTAAATTTATTTTCTAATCTATGCTAATTTCATTCCAATCATTTAAAATAACCTATCCAATAATTTATACTTAGGACTATGAGTTGTAACTTCTTTAAATATAGAGTCATTCTATTATTATTGTTGTTGAGGTTAATCAATGTAATATTAGAATAAAATCTTATCAATGAAGTAAGTACTTTATTTAGAAAATAATTCTAAAAACACTTTTATTAAATCTAATGCTTTCTCATGGATGGATAATTGCAAAGAAGAATCAAATAACACTTTGAATATTGTATTGAAAATCTTGTCCATATAAGTTTAATTATTAATGAAATCAGTTTACATTTTCTCTAAGTTATTAGGTGGTTATGATTATTATTCACATTTAGGAAGATAACTTTAAACTACATGTTTAACAATATCTAACCAATTTTGATAGATACTAGTCTTTTGATAAGGTGGTATTTTTAGATTCTTACCAACTATTGTTTCTTCATCAATTAATTCAGCTACATTAGCATTTATTTCATTAATCTTGTCTGTCACATCATTTTGTTAAATAGGATCTCTTTTTTAAATGATAGATTATTTTAGACGATTGCTGATATCAATCCTTAGGTGCATGATATCAACAGGACAATGTTTAAGTGTTTTAATAATAGTGGCAACTACAGAATCTAATTTAATTGTATCAGAGATATCTTTAATAATTCTTGATTAAGGCTGCATCTGATTTTCATCCCTTTTGATAGTAAGAGCAAGTAATTATAAAAATTTTGAGTAGGCATTAAAAAGTTCTTAAACTATATTTCTTGGGACTTTCTACAACAAATCTTGAAAATTGGTTTCATTTATCACTTAATTCATTGTCTTTAAAGCTCTCTTTAAGATTTCTCTCATTTAGGTTTTAGTCTAAATTATATTGAATGATTACTTCATCTTTGACTATAGAGTCTAAAACAAAGATAGTATAAATAAAGAAAGGTGGTATATTAGTTACAAAAGATAAACTATAAATATTAAGTCTAATATCCTTCTCTCTTTTATCTTCAATATCTGATTATAAGACATAATTCTGATCTTAAAATGGATTACTTTAATTATCTCCTAATAGTTTTTTATATTAAGACTTTTTGAGTTCATTATTAAATTTAACCAAGAATTCAATCCTTTACTCAAAGAATGAATAGAGTCTTAATAGTAATGAATCTGAAAATAAAGTATTTGATCTTTAAAATTGATGTGGTTATTATTGATTAGACTTAAGAAGATCATTAATAATGCGAATGGCTACAGCTGCATTATTTTCATTGTCTTTTTCCAATACAACAGTCATTTATTCCACTACTTAGTATGTCATATGTTATAACAAAATCTTTTTTTGTAATAATTCTAAGATGGCAGCCCTAATTAAGAATTTTGTATTTCGAGTTGTCTAAGGCTCAACATGTTAAAGGACATAAACAATAAAATTCAAGCAATTCTCAACAAAGATTTTCTAATTATTTTAAAGGACTTGCTATAAATAAATTAGATAAATAGAGTACATGATTGGTGTCTCGATTTCTTTCTTGATGTACTTCTTCTGAAATTCGACCTAATCGTTCTCGAATTTCAAAGATATTCCTTTCTGTGAAGCTCTCATTGTTGTTGTTTAGGTTGTTAAGCTAATCTTTGAGCTTTTCAAAATATGAAGGGTCAATTTGAGACATTTTAATTAAATTAATGAAGAATTTCGCTCCTTCCCTCTCAATAATGAAAATTACATATATTGTTAATAATTACATTTGGAATAATAAATGCTTTCCTATCAGAATGTTGCATAAAATGAATATTAGAAAGAGAAAGATATTCCATCTCCAAGTCCACTTACAAGACCTAAAAACAATAATACAAATTAATAACCTACTCCAGTTCCCAGCAAATCTTTAATAATTTTGATTTATATCTCAATAGTTTACATTCTTAGAAAATGGAAAATGATAAATAATCGTAAATTATTGCTTCTCATTTAGAATATAATCCAATTTATCCCAAAAAGATTAATCATTTAGGTCTAATTACAATATGAATTAAATAAATCCTCAAGAGTAAATGCTACTTGAAAAGCAATAGTTACTTATGGAAGAAGGTGAAGACTTAAAGAAGCATAATTATTACTACCTAGAGCACATGTGAAGAAATTATAGAATGAGAATTAAAAACTCAAAAAAGTTATCGATTAACTTCAACCTGAATTGTATTCAGTTTACCTTCTAATCCTTTAGATAATCGTAATCAAAAGTCGATTGAATAAGATCTTGAAGCAAAATTTGATTATTAAGAGGAAATGATAATTAAATTAAAATCAGAAGTTCGCAGAAAATAGGAAGCTTAATTAGAGAAATTATAAAAGAAGTTGGAAGATTATAATATATTGTCCTCATGAATTAAATAAATAAATTAAAGATCTTCAAGATTAAGTTTAAGACTAAAAAAAGACAATTAGTCTAACTTAATACTGCTGAACATGAAAATAGCAATTTAAAGGATAATATAGAAATATATAAATAATAATTGAGAGAAAAAGAAATTATAATTGAATAACATCGTGAATAATAAGAATATTTGTACTTAAATAATATTAAATTTAATTGTAAAAATAATAGGTCAAATAATTAGAAATTAAAGAGAAAGAACTTTATAGTACTAAAAATTAATAATTAAAATTAGAAGAATCTATTCAAAATCTAAAACTAGATTTTATAGGATAGAAATAATTAATTAGAATTCGAAGTTACTAAATTAAGAGTATATATCTATTTTTACATTTATAAGAATAATTAATCTAATAAGTCAATCGAATTAGAAATTTAGAGAATGATTTATAGAGTTAATCATTCAATTAAAAATTTAATACAATAAGAATACCTTAAACTTCAGATTAACTTTTTACAAATTAATAATAGTTATTTTAATCAAATACACTTAAAGGTTCTTTTAATCATTAATTTAACTTATATAAATGAAAAATCAAATAATGTAATTATTTTAATAAGTAATAAGATCATCATTTCTTGTTAATTAAATTATTTAATATTTCCATTTTTTATTACTTATATTTTGAATCACAATCTTCTCTCATCCACAAAACTACTTCCAATATATACATAGAATATTATTCAAAACTTTATGGATATAGTTAAAGTAATCCATCTATTTCACTTTTTGGATTATTTATTGATTTTATAAGAGTAGTTAAAATCTTATCAAATTGTTAGGCACTTGTCTTACCAACCTATGCAATAAAATCTTATTCAATAGAATTCAATATGACATCTTTATCTCTTTACATTTATGGTACAACCAACTCTTTATTAGAAAGTATCATTTAAATAGCAGCCTTCTTATCTTTTTCTTTCTTTTTTTTATCTTTGTCTTATTCATTTACAAAACTTAGATTTGTTAACAATTTTGGAAAGAATCCTAAATATTTATCAAATTTATAAGATACCTTTAGGAATACCTGCAATAAATTATACAGTATATAATAATTATTCTTCATAAGTATTGATTAATTATTTGAATATCAATTTGACTAGTTTATTGAAATGAATCTAATTTAACATTAGTAATTATATATCTTAAAGATAATCTTTTATTGTTAATAATGCTTAATCTATTAAGTTTTCATTTTACCATTTAGGTGAAAATAAAAATGGTATAATTTAATCATTAATTTCATTAAAAACCATTTTACAAGATTTTTCTAACAATAAATTTATTATTTCATTAAAACCACCAGTTAAATCTTAATAAAATATTTATTAGACTCTTTCTGATATTAATTCATTACAAAATTTTAAACAATATTCTTTTGTTTCATTAGAATATGTCATACATTTATAATAATTATTGGTTTATAAAACTAATAGATATAGAGGTGAAACTTCTCCTTCTTATTCATTACTAGGAAGTTCATTTATAAAATCTCTACATTCCTTTTTCAAGACTTCTGATAAAGTTCCACATACTGAACGAATAAATTCAATAAATATTTCTCCTTTTAAATTTGGACCTAAAATATCTAATTATTAATTGATAAAATGGAATATATCTTCTGGAAAGTAGGTTAATAAATCTTATTTAGTTCTAATAAGTTTAGTGATATTTTCTAAAGTTTATTATTCACTCTTGTCCTTTCTTATAGCCTTTTCAGAATAATCAATAATTAGATTATTTACATGATCTTAAAAGATAGGCATATATGATTTAACTCTACATCTTAAAGCTACATATGATTCACTTTATTCACCAACTCTACTTAATAATTATTCATAAGAATCCACCCAACTTAATAAATTGATTAAAGTACCAAAAGATTCTGTAACTTTTTATTCATCTTCAAGAAAAGGTAGAATTCTCTTTTCTACATTTACTTTATATTAATCTTCAATAACTTTAAATATATTATAATGTTTTGGAAAACATTTAACAGTATGATCAAATGCCAAAATTAAATCAGCAGATGAAAATTTAGATTATTCTAAAATTTAGACAGCATCTTTTGCATCTTTCAATTTTTAATTAAATTTCTCATCAATTCCTTATTCAATTGTTTAAAGTGCTCTTTTTTTATAAATCAATTCCTTTTTTCTTAATTCTCTAGATTTATCAGCTGTTTCAATTATCTATAATGTTTTTATCAATTATTAAGGTTTTTTAATAGATGCTTCAATTGTTGTAAGTAGGATTTCATATATCTTATCATAAAACTTATTCTCAAATTCAGAAAGACATTTGAATTCATTAAGTATAATACTTAAATCTTATTTAGATTAAGGAGATGTATTAACAGCTTCTATGATATTATCTCTAATATCAACTAAAGCAATTAATTTATAATGAAGATTTTCATAGTCACAATTTCCACTCTAAAATGTAGAATTCATTTTATCAATTTCTTCTTAAACTCTGAATATATATTTCATTTAATCAAGCATTAATCCTATATTTTTACGATAAAAAAATATTTTTTCATAGCTAACTAATTCTCTATGAAATTGAGCATCTTTATCAAATTCTTAATTTAGAATCTCTATTTATTATTCACATTTTTCAACATTATTAAAACATTAATCCATAAAATTCTTTGTTTTATTAAGTGCATCAATTTATTATTGAATCATTTTCTAAATCTTTTTATCTAATTCCAATTATTGTTCAATAAATTAATTAAGTAATTTATCAAACTTTTCATCTTCCTAATAACTTGGATTACCTAATATTTCCATAATAATTAGATTAGCAGCAGCCTTGGCTTCCTCTTCATTTTAGAATACTTTTTAACATTAATACATTTTTTATTAATTAATATATTTAAATAAATTACATGAAACAACCTGAATATAAGGCATATGAAGTTTATTCAGGTAATCTTTTGATTGATTATTGGTCTAATAAACAAAATGAAAATAGTTATCCAAAATTAGAAATCAAAAAAATTAATAAAAAGATGAGTAAATTACAAATTAAAGGATTGAAAAGAAAAAACAAGGAAGATGATTAAATTATCGATAAAATTGTAGCCTTATGTATATGAACTTGAACTTTCAAGAAATATTTATATAATGTTATAAGATAAATATAAATTTGTAAAACAAAATATTTTTATTCTTTTTATTAAAGATATGTAATCATTATATCAATGAGAAGATTTCCTATTCTACATTATTAAATATTTCGATATTTATTATCTAATAACCTATATAATTCAATAAAAACAACAAATCTTAACGATTGAATTAAAAAAATATTTAAATCTTATTTAATTATTTATTCACCTATTTATTCATTTCTATTCTATTCTCATCTTGATTGAATGTTTATGAAACTTAGTGTGAATAAATGACACCCCCAATTTTTAAATTAATTTTAGTTGGAATTTAAGATTTTTATTTGTAAATAATTATAAGCATACTAAGTAGTTTAGAAGGTTTAAAAAATTAATCCAGAATTTGAGAATATCCTAAAAATGTTATTACTTCTAATAATAATTAGTCAATTTCCTATTGTTGCAACACCTTAAGAAGCTGGTTTTCTTGAAGCTATAATCAGTTTAAATTTATCACTTTATTTTATATAATGTTTGAAACAATTACTAATATATAATATGATAGTAAGATTAGTCCAAAAATGGCTAGATATGAAAACTAAATAAAAAATATTATTTTCAACTTCTTTAGCAATTTTAGATTTCATATTCATATTCGTATAAAAATATGATCTAACTCTTATTTTTTATACATACTTAAGAAATCTAGATATCTATCATAAGATATTAATTCTTATTTTTTTATATCTATTCTTTTTCTTCATCAAATTTTGCAGTTGTCTATTAAGATTTCACAGTTTTTATTTATGATTAAAATCTTTATTAGAAATATATCTTATTTTTCTTTTTATTACCCTTATCTTTCTTTATTCTTAATCACCTAAAATCATTGATAAAACATAAGAGTTCCTTTAATTTCTGAAAATAAATACTATTTAGGCTAAGTCGACATTTAAAATAAAAAAAAATAAAATCATTGGAAAAATAGACAATAAATTAATTAAAAGAAAATCTATTAAAATCAATACTCTTCCTCACTACTTATAGTCTCTTTTGGACCACCAATCTATCTATTAATTTTTTACATTAAATATCTGGCATTACTTTCAGTTTGAAATCCCTAAAATAATTAAATATAATTTATCATTTACTTTAACTGCTTTTTCAACAACAAATTCATGTCTTCTATTCAATACAAGAGCCTCTGCAGGTTCATCAGGTACTAAAAATCTGATAATATATTTTAGTGTTAAGAATACAATTAAAAGTGTAGTAAATACTTAAACTTAGTTTTCTTTAATAATTTCTGAAGTAAAAACAATCAAACCAGCATTTGTGAATATTGCTAGAAATGATATCATTTCAAATATAATCAACCAATTTCCTATAGAAGATGCACCTTAAGGGAATGGTCTTCTTGAATAATTAAAGAAATTATATTTATCAACTTAAAGTTTGAGTACATTCTAAATAAATGCTAAAATATAACAAGCAGGAAATGCTAAACCAAAAAGTGAAAGATATGAAAATTAAATAGCTAATTCCATATAGTCATTTACACTTCCATCTACTTCTTCATTAGTTTGATAAGGTTCTAATTTTAATTATCTTTCAATTTCTTCATCAATCAAATTAAATGGATGTTCAACTAATTTTTCATCCTTTTTTGTTAATAACTATATTATTATATTATTGTATAAATTACATTTTAAATAAATGCTTTTATAATTGGAGCAACTAATTTAGGAATTTAAAGTGATATAATATTTGTTAAGAATATTGTTGTCATCTAATTAGATAGAATTTAAAAACAATCATTTGGGATAGATAAATTAACTTAACATAATTTAAGTTAGACAAAGTAACTTGATAAAAAGGATGTAATAAAAAATTAAATGAAACTATTTAATTAATAAAATAAATATTTACTTATTAACAAATCTAAAAATAGTGAATTTAGCAACAAGAGAGTTTTCATAAGTAGATAATATTTTATGATTTTCTAAAACATTAAATGATTAACCAACTTTGTTATAAATGAAATTAAAAAAATTAATAGAAACAGCTTAAAGAATACTAGGAATTGTATTAGATAGAGTTTAATCAAGTTATTATTCAATTAATGTATTTTTTAGAATATTGATGCCAATCACACATCCAATTACACATCCAATTATAATTGCACTTATAGATAATGCTAAAAGTTATTTCATTTTTCTTTTAAAAGGAGAATAAAATTCTTCATTTAAATCATCATTTAATACTGATCTTATAAAATCTCCTTCAAATGCTGGACGTTCTGCTTCATCAGCTTCAAAATTCTATTATCCAAATCTTACACTAAAATATACTTATTCTCTTTTCCAAAATTCCATAAAAAAAGTACTCCAAATAATAATTATTATAGAAAATCCAATAATAGCTGTTTATCTTAATTCTATTGTAGCAGAATACATTATTCCTTATGTTATTATACTTACAATAGCCATATACCATAATTATTTAGCATAATAACTTAAAAAATCAAAATATAAAGCAATCTTCTCTCCAAAATAATCTCTTATTGAATCAATAGGAACAAACCATGGAATTCTATAATTAAATTAACTTTCTTATTCTAAACTTTCAGAATCAAAATCTGTTGATTCAGCTTCATCTGCTAATTCTTTAAATAAATCTCTTAAATATTTCTCACCTTCAGTTGGTTCTTTGTCTATTATTAATCCATTCTTTTTTAAAGGCTCAAAAAATTATTTCTTTTTATCTCCTTATCCTTTTAATTAATGTAAATCATGTATAGGAAAATAAGCAAAAATATATTACATTTATAACATTTTTAAGATATTAATATGTTTTAAAACAATAGAATTTGATATTTTTATTTTCTCCATATTAATAAATTCTGAACGATGTTTATTTTCATTAATTTCATATTTTCTCCATAATGATGAACCTGCACTACCAGTAGATTTAAAATATTCTGTATATGGTGCAACTGGAGTTATATTTAGTCTTCCCCATAAATTGTATATAATCTATTTCTCTCCTTTAAGTTCTCTAAAAAAACTTTAATTTTCAGCATACCATATTTAATTAGCATCACCTAAAGCTTTAAGAAAAACTAATTTATAGAGAAAAGCAATATTTTCTATTACTTCCTTCATTTTTTATTCTTTTGCCCATTATATTTTTTTACCAAAACATAATATGCTTTCTAAATAGAGATAATACACTTGCCATTCTTCATCAGAGATTGGTATATCATCAATTAATTCAACTTTTTCATGACTTTAATCTATATTTAAATCTGCAACAACTTCTTTTAATATTTTATCAACATCTCTTTGTTTTTTAACAACATGATATTTTAAATCTTTTCCTTTCCATTATCTTACTTTGATATATAATTTTAAACAATAATTTTCAACATCTTAACAATTTAAATAATCAAATTCAGGTTCATTAGATTAAGCACATTCTTCTTAAGCAAATATATTTCTTAAATCATCATCAATAATTCTAACATAACTTTTCAATCTCAAAGGTCTAAATTAATTATCTACAGGTTCAAGTGAAAATAAATCTGCAAATCCCATTTCAATTTATTTTGTAATTTTCATTTTCTAAGCTTATCTAGTAATAACTTATGGATGACTTTTAACAACTACAAAAATATGTTTACCAGTTGTTGAAACAAATTATCTACAATGTACAAAAGCATTTCTACATAATTTATTAATAACTGTTATACGAACAAGAGTTAAAAAATCTTTTGGAGGTGTATTTTAACAAATCCAATCATAATCAACTTCATCATTCATTTTTTTTACTAAATATCCTCCTTTACTTAATTATTTACTAATATTTTTAAATTGTTTTATATTATTAAGATCAATTTTAAGTAATTCTTTAAGTGGATCAATAATTAAATCTTCTTATTTTTTTTATTTTTACCATTATCTATAAAATTATTAAGAAAATTTAACTTCAGAAAATAATTCTCCTTAATTTTATTTTGCAACATTTCTTTATAATTAATATTATTCTTCCTCTAATTATAATTATACTTCATAAAGTTTCATAAATTTTTAATATTTTTGATATGAAGTTTCTTCTTAAGGTTTGTTTTCAGAATGTTAAGATTATATTGAATTAATTTTTGATGGTTAATCTTTTTAGTTTTATAATAATTTAGCTTCTTCTTAATTATTTTGATTATCAACTTAATTTTATTTATCTTTATTTTAGTTATCCTCTTTTTGAATATCTTTTTTATTTTATTCTTAATTCTTATTTTCATTATTAGCTTTATTTTATTTCTTATCATCCTATTTCTTATTCTTTTTCTCTGGTTTAACATAATCTCCTAAAGTAAGATATGATAATAAAAATGAATCCCTTTCTTTTTTTAAATATGACTTAGAAACTTCATCTGTTATAACTGTAATAAATTTATCAAAAACCTTTTCAGCTTCTAAAAAAGTTATCTCTCCTGCTAAAGCTTCTTCATCATCTGGATTTGGAAAAACAATTACAAGATCACCAATATTACAATCTCCATAAATATGTTTCATTTCTTAAAATTCATTTGGATTTAAAAACTCATCTTAATATTTCTCTGATTACTCTGTATCATCACTACTTAATAATTTCTTTTTGTTTTTTAAAAATCTTTTAACATCAATTTAATTTGTAAAAAATCCCAATATCTCTCTTAAAGATTATTCTTTCAAAGTTTAGATTTATTGCTATCTTATTTTTTTCTAACTTAATGTTTAAGCTTTTTTCAATTTCGATTTCAATTCCTATTCCTACTATTCTTCATGAGCCTAAAGAACTTCAGCTAATGATTATCTAGATGCCCTTGAATTCCTTGAACCTGAATTGTGTGATTCCATTTTATTTTTATAATTTATTAATATAATGCTGTAAGAATAATAAGAAATCTGTCCAATCGAGTAATTTAAACAATCCTATTTATTTAGATATTTTAATGGTCTGTAAAATTCCTTTGCAGAACTTATCGAAGTAGCAAAATAGAATTCTAGTAATCATACTATAGATCTCAAACCTTATAAATCTCCAACATTGCATTCCATCTTATAAAAAGTTGAACAATTAGTATCAAATAACAATAAAGGAATAGAACGAAAATGAAATTCCAGATTAAAAACCATCAGATAATTTAGAGCTTAAGAAAAATCAACTCTTAGAATATCAGAATCATGCAGAATTGATTACTACTAATTTCTACACACAATCTGTTATTGCAGCCATGTAAATCAGAAAAGTTAAGAATGAAGCTATTAATTGTGCATATATTCATGCCTTATAAGGATTCCCCTCTCTTAAGTAGGAATAAGACAAATTAAAAAAATGTAAATTATAATCTTATCAATTTGCGTAATTTTATAGAAATATCATAGATAAGATTAGGAATTTCGGTTCCTTAAATCAATATAGCCCAATGTCTATTAATTACATAAAATAAAATAGATATCTAATCATGTTTAAGATAAATTTATGATTCATTTTACTATCTATCATCCATTCACTCATAAAAAAATGTAAATTATTATAGCTACCAATGATGCAACTCTAGAATAGATAATCTAGGAAATAGATTGTCCCGTTGAATCTACTGAAAAAATGTTTTATTAAAATGAATTACATATTTTTGATCCTCCTTCTATTAGTATTGGAAAAAAAGAAGATATCATAGGTCATCTCAAATTTGTGTTATGTAAACAATATACATATACACATTTAAACTAATGCAAGCATAGAATTTATATAAATGAAATACGTTCATTGACTTAAGATGAAGAACTTAATTCACCTTATGCCAGAACCATATTTAAAGCACCACTCAAAATTCGAGGATGCGATGGTTGTGGAAGATCAGCTTAATTATTTCGTATTTCAGATACATTAATACCAGGTTCTTCTCCAGTCTTCTTATGTAAATTTTGTAATGATAATTTACATTCTAATGATTAGGAGAAAGGGCTGTAATATTTTTGTGATTGATTATAATATAACACAATATTGATTAAATAATATATATTATAAAAATTAATTTGCTAAATTAAATAGAACTTTCATTAAGCTTAAAAAGGGATCTAAAAATATAATTATACATAATATTCTTTAATCTTTAATAAAATTTAAGATAAACTACTGAATAATTAATTTTTGGGGTATACGTATTCATATAAATATCTCATTATTCTTATACTGCATTTTTAATAGTTTTAAATAATTAGGTTGCCTCTAGAATTGATGAAAATTCCAAGCAAAATCCTTATAATTCTACATATATCTTCTCAGGATCAAATATCTTCTATTTAATCAATGTACGTATAAATACCGACACCAATCTCACTTATCTAGTTAATTTTATGGATAATTCTAAATAATCAATTCATTATTTTACAATCTTGAATTCTTCCTAATTTACGATGCATTTTGTTATAAACATATTAAGAAATTAGTCTGGGAGACTTATGCTCTTCGATAATTAATTCACTAATTCTAATGTCTGAATACTAATCTTTATCTAAATTAAATATTCTAAATATCTAAATAATCATATTTTGAATATACTCGTTAGCATTGACACCTATTAAATATAATTTTTTTCAAAAGATCACTCACTAATTATGGATTCTACTCCACTAAAAATTTGAATTGATTCCAATCAATCTTATATTCTGGTTTGAATAGATTCAAAATCATTTGATGATCCCCCTATTAAAGTTTAGCATACAAAATTCATTCTAATTTAACTTAACATTAAGCTTAACACAATAAATGACGAAACTTTATCAAAGGACTTATGTTATAGTCCCATATATTTGGATGAATTAAATCCAATTGAATATAATCAAAACTTTAATGATGATATATGGTTGGGATTGGTCTCATAAATTCATAAGAAGGTTCGATTTTATTCATCTATAATAAATGTGTTTATCTTAATATTTGCTCTAATGATTACCCATACTCTATCATAATGAAATATGAATACATATTTGATATTATCGATTATGTTCATTTCTAATTGGTTGATGCATAAATCAGATAAGCACATATTCTTTTCCCATTTATGAATATTGTATAGAAATTATAATCGAATATGAATATGAGGTGCTTATTTCTACATATTACATTTTAAAATTACTTAATCTAATAAATTATTAATCATCAAACACATTTCATATATGCATTGATCCTTGATCATCTTATAATTATCATCCAATGTCTTGCTCATTTCTACAGGAATTTTTGCTATTCCTTACATTTTGATTTATTCAATTATTTAATATTATGATTTTTAACTTAATTTCTTGTATCATATATATACATTCTTTAGATGATAGAAATGAGTCTAGTCATCTCAAATTAAATAAAGAATGTTCATAATTTAAGTGTATGTTAAAATTATTTAATCTTATGATGATACATATTGATATTTTTTATATTAACGGATGAAGGAACATAAAGATGGAATTTATTAAGGAGGATTAAATGCAAAATAACAAAAACATGGGCTTGGAGTTTACTTATGGGATATTGGTTCTGCTTATTATGGAGAGTGGAAAAACGATTTGATTGATGGATAAGGAATCTTGTTCTTAGGTGGGTAGATCATCATCTAAGGTGGTTTTAAGAGAGGAGTTGCTCATGGATATATTGTAATAAAGGTTGGGACAAGAGTCTTTTATAGTTAATTCGACAAAGGAGAGGCTATATTCATTTAGGAAGGAGAAAGAAAGATTACAATACAATCATCAAGTGCTTAGATAACTCATGATTGTACATAAGAAGCTGATCAAATATTATAGGGAATTAGTAAACTACAGCAAGGGGACTTACAAATATAGTTATTTAATCATTGTATCTACTATGGAAATGTTGGAAAAGCAAATTTACCAAATGGTTTAGGAATAGAGATTTCAAATTTATTCTATCTATGTGGATAGTTTGTGGAAGGAAAACTTAATGGTTTGGGTAGATTAGATTAATAGGATGAGATCTATCAAGGCTAATTCCAATAAGGTATATATCATGGGAATGGATTGATGGTATTTAAGGATCAGAGAATTTAATGGGTGAAAGGGAAATATAATCAGGGATAGTTGGTGGAAATCAAGAGCAGCGGATATTTGGAATAAATGGAAACTCCGCAAGAATTAGTGTGTAATTCGTCATTATATCTTTGTTAGTTGCATTCTCTAAAAAAGTTAATTAGTAATACATAATAACTCCCATTTCAAAGGAGATTATACTGGGATATATAAGATTATTTGAAGTGATGCAATTTGTAAGGCTTCGAGTTAATACATTAACTGAAATCAAATCATAATAATACCCACCTTTGAGAAAATATAGTACTAAAGCAAATACTTTAAGTAAATCTGTGGAGGAAATAAGGAAACTATAAAGTTAATTTAATACAAGAAATCTCGATTAATAACATCAGATCTATGAGTTTATATTAGATCAACATGATGAAAATTAGACATAAAGAAAGACTGATACTTAGTAATCAAGAACTAAAACTTAACCAACTGAAGATTATTTTGAAAATAAGATTTCATTTGGTTTACTTGAAATTCCAAGTCTCAAGAATTCCAGAAAAACAGCAGCTTTTTAAGTTGAAGAATAACAATTATAAATTAGGAAGAATAGTGATTATAATTAAAAAAGATCATTATCTTAGAATGAAGTTAAGTAAAAATAATAATAATAATAATAATAATAATAATAATAATAATAATAATAATAACAATAATAACAATAATAATAATAACAATAATAATAATAAACTAATGATCGTATGTTAACGTTAAAAAATATTTTAGAAACTTAGAAATAAAAATATAATTCTGATTTTAAATAAAAGAAGACAGTATTTGCTGATATCTAATCTACTACTGCATAGAGAACTAAATCAATTATACAATAAAATAATAAAAATCTTCAATGTTTAAGTGAAGTTGTGTAAAAAGAGTTAAATAGATCTCCACCTAGTGAGGAAAGAAGATCTACTATAAAGCCTATTTATGTTTAGAATGAAGAAAATGAATAACAATAATTAAGTTCCCAAAAAACTCTACCAAGTAAATTCAATGTAGATTATACAACTGCGTATAATGATCATAAAAATAAGATTCATAGTTTACTTAATAAATTCAACAGTATTAAAATTAAGCCAAACATAAAATAAGAAACTTAAAACTATGAATTTTCAACCAAATCATTAAGTTCAAAATAATCTATATAAAAAGTGAATGATGGAAATGATGTACCTTTAGGAAATATCTAAAACTGCATCTCTTTGGTATCTCATAAAAATACTATTCATGAAAAGAATTTATAAATTTCATTTGAAAAATAATAATCCAAAAAAATGGATGACTCAAATTACCATTCATGTAATGGTAATTGTACTCAAATCCAATCAGAAGATCCAAATACTAAGTATATCTAAGAAATTAGATAAGAATTAGCTGAATAAAAATAAATGCTCACTTAACTATTCTAATCTCTTTAATAAAAATAACCATAAGCTAATAAATAATATATTAAGAGATTACCTAATACTCCTTAAAGAAATATTCAAGTGTAATAACAACCAAAATAAGTTTATGTCTATCCAACATTCACACTTGTTAAATCAGTCTCTCCAATGAGACTTTGAAAATTTGATCATCACTTCCAATTTATAAAAATAATAATTATTATTCTACTTTTATTAATTTTATTAAATGTCAATCACAGCCTCTACCTGTTAATAAATTAGTCAATCGCCCCTAAATTTGAGTACTGCCAAATAGCTATGGTCTTTCCCTAAAAGCAGTCGTTTTGGCAAATTAGAAAATCCAAATAAGTAACTGTGCCTTTAATTATTAGTTGTGCAGTAGCTTTTTATGATCTCCCAGACTAGAAATAAAAGAGAGCTGCAGGTGTAGGCTATTCTAATAAGTAAAACCATCTTATAAACTTTCTAGATATGATTTCACAAAAAATGGACCAAAGACACCTGCACCTGGTACTTACAAAATAGTAGGGGAAGTAGATATCAATAAAACTAAAAATCGTGGCTATCCTTTTGGAGTAAGTAGAGATGTAATGTTAAATTGTTAATTCTAGAAAATGTGGTAAACTGGGATTATGGGTGGATTGAATAGAGTAACTCCTGGTCCAGGAAAGTACGAAAGTCAATCTACACTCAGCTAAACAAGATATACGATGCGACCAAAAAATTAATAAGATATCATGATTCTTACCAAAAATGTTCCAGGTTTTCAAGTTTAAATATTGTAGGGCCTGGAGCATATAATTCTGTTTAAGGAATAGATTCCAAAGGAAGATATCCAATTTCCAAATTTTCTAATAGCTGTGCTACTCTATTTAATCCTCCAAGATCAAAGAGATTTGACAATAAATAATGTAAATTAATAATTCTATTAATTTCAGATAGTAATGATGTTCCAGGACCTGGAAATTATAAATTAGACAATATTGGCATATAAAGCGTAATTTTATTTATATAATCTTTAAAAGACTGGATTTTATCCAATTTCTAATTTACATTCTAGTAAATGTAGAAGTTTTCCTCATGATATAAGGAAAACTTATTCAGTTTCCAGTATGCAAACTCCAGGACCTGGTTAATATAGACTTCCTTCAGATTTCGGATATTATGAATCTAAATCAAAATCAATATCTAGAAATTGATGATATATTTTATTTTTGGGCATTAATAAATGAATTTTAGATTAATTTGTATATAAATTGTTATTATCACAAATTCTCATCATCGAAATAGTTGGGTCGATACAGTTTCCTTTCAAAACTGTCCAACATGTTGTTTACAATCTACAAATCATTTTGATCATTTTTATTTTACTCAAAGTTGTTATTACATTTTATTTATATTCTTTTTTTGGGAATCATCGATTACTTAATCCTTGTAAGGTGAATCGAAGTTTCTTTTAATAAAGAACTATTGGCTTTAAGTGTTTTACTAAAATTACTCTCAGCTTATTCAACTGCTTATGCTAATAACAATCCTTTAAATTCTGTTCTATCAAGTGGATGCTTGTGAGAAAGTGTAGATACAGATTTTGATTTTTGGCTTCAATAAATTTAATTTAATACCTATTAACCAAAAAAATTGGAGCTGTTTGATTTTGATTAGGATTATTTTGTTGTTCATTTTTAGTTGCTTATCCAGCATTGAAAGAAATTGAATTAAAATCCTTAAATAATTATAAATTGTCTTACACTTCCAACTGTATATGGTCTGCTTGTCTAATTATATTAAGCTGAATTCATTATTTAATTTTGTAATTATTGGATAGTTTAAGATTACTATTGATGTTCCAATTATTACAAAGTAGATTCTATAACGTCTTTAGGTTGTCTACAATTTGTTTAAGCAGTTGCTACTCTTTATAAACTTAATCTGGAAGGTAAAATACCACTTCTTTATTCCATTTCAAGATTAGTCATTCTTCTGAGTGTACTTTACTATTTAATATGTTCCATATTCTATAATCTTAACTCCTCTTTGATTTATTCAATTTCCAAATCCTTTTAGATTTTATCACTTATTGCCTTTACTCCTTATTCTTCCATTTATAAAATCTTTGGGTTGATTAATAGATTAACATATTTTTAAGATTGTTAATTCAGTTTGTTCCATAGATGATCTGGTCGACCCAGTAATGCTGTTCTTGAAAGGATTGGCTTTACAGCAATTGTATCTACTTGAACATCATTGCGCTGTGAACTTAAGTTTTGTAGACTACCTCTTTCTAATTTTCGTTAATGCAATCTCATTAGATCCTCTTCTCTTGCCATATTATAGTATATTATTTTATTGTGTTGTAACACTTATTTCTCTCTCTATTCCATCTCTTACAATTTCTTAATTCTCTTTTCACCTTTGTCATGTTGTTCTTTTAATTATTTAAAAACCTTCGCATTTGATTTAGCTTGGTGTGGATTATTCCAAATATGTGTATTATCATTATAATAGTCATGGGTTTTTTTTTAATGTTCATTCATAGGAACTGTTTGATATCTACATTAACAAAGTCAATACTCTGGCAATTTAGTTTGCAAATAATATTTATCAATCTCTTTTTTTGGATAAGCTGGATGATTAGTTATCATTTATATTAATTAATTAAAATTTCTATTTTTTAAGAATAACTTCTTTTGATATGAGTTTATTTTCAGAATTAACTTATAATATAATGTTTTTAATTAAATTTCATTAAATATATAATAACTAAATCTATTATGTCTTGTGTTTTATAACATTAAGTACATTTAATTTATAATAAATTCTTGAAAAATAAACAAACCTATATCAATATAAACTAGAAATACTAATTTCAACTATTGGCAATTATTGAGATTGATATATGAGAGTAATTTTAAGTCATAGTAAAACTCATAACACACTATGAAAAACTATAAATATTTGTTATGAAAATCTAATATATTAAAATGATATTAAACTACTATTTGCTTTCTTTATGCTTAAATATCAAGAACATATGATGAATTACTAAAAAAATTATCTTACAACAACTTGATCAGATTTTTTATAAAATATTTTATCTTTCAACCATAATCTTAAATTGGTATTACTATACGAAAATACTCTTTTACTATAAACAATTCTAAACATTTTGAATCTAAAAGTTTTCAAATTAATTTAGATTTAATAGTTTTTTATAATAATCAAAATTCAATAATTTGTTACATAAATAAAATTTTGATAATATTTTTATTTACTTTCAAATTCTAAATTACTAATTAAAATTAGTACTTTTAGATCAATTCTTAGTTGAATAATAATATTGAGGAAAACTGTAAAAGAAATAATTTTATTTATCATAATTATTAATATTATTATAATGCAATATTTTTCAATACTTTCTTGGTGGTTCTTTTGTAGTAACAATCTTTGGGGCTAAAACTTAAGTAACAGGTTTGATTAACTCAATAGATTAAATAAACTATTTATTTTAAGAAGTTGTTCTTTTTTTCTCAACTGATAACTATTATGATACTTTGTTGGTCTAAAATTAAGGTCTTTTTAGTCCTGATTATTATTAGGAATAGAGATAGTGACTATTATTATTTCCAATTTTTTTATCCGATTCGATGCCATTTAATCTAACGCCTGATTATTATAATTGTTATTATAATTGTTATTGTTATTATTATTATTATTATTATTATTATTATTATTATTATTATTATTATTATTATTATTATTATTATTATTATTATTATTAT